CCCCAAAACCCCAAAACCCCAAAACCCCAAAACCCCAAGAGAGGGGTGGATTATTGAATTTTTATGATTATTTCTAAAAAGAACTTTATGGCAAGAGAAATGGTAGGGAGAGCGTTTAATGGGGTGAAAGTAAGGTGATTGGGGTAGGCTGGGGATGTTGGTGAATGATTAGTTAGTGTAGGATGATTATTTTGGGGTTTAAAGAAGATTTAGGTTGGGGATTTTTAGTGTTACTACAAATTTTGATTTTCACAAAAATTCAGAATGCTTAAACTTAATAATCAATGAGTATCCTCGAGAAAATTATGAGGAAAATCTTTCAAACCTCGAAAGCTGGATTAATTCTATAAACTCCTAATATTTATCCTTTTAAAACTTATATTTACTCTAATCAGCTTACTCTTATTTATCATTAAGTTACCATATCCTCATTGGTTTCAAAATAATAATGCATAACATTCTTCAGAAAAAGGGGAGAAAATTCGTGACCCAAAGTGCTTTTGCTTCTCGAAAACCTACTGTTCAAAGATATCCTGCACGGCTACAATCAAAATAAGACTTTAAGGTAAAGCTCTAGAACTTTCAGAAGTTCTCCAACTGTTCGCTAAAAATCGAACATTTCAGAATATTGGACATTTTTGTGCACGTTGTGCAGAAATTTTAAGATAGGGAGAAATGTTGGGGAAGTGGGTTTTGGAAGAGAAGGTGAGATTTTTGATTGGGTTATGGGAATTTGATGGATGAGATGGATTTTTATAGAAGGAAACTGAAGTCTACTCGTCCATCTCCGATTAGTTTTAAATTTTGTAAAACTTTTGTTAAAATTAATGGAGTTAAGAGTACGAGAAAGGATTTTCAGATTTCTAAGAGTAAGTCTTTACCTCTTGGTGTTGATGTGGCTAAGGGTAATAAATTTCTATTTTTAGAGGCAATAAGAGCAACTTCTAACTCTAAGCTTAATCGTAAAGTGAAACAAACTACATCAAGAATTATGAGGAACAAAATCAACTCTCTTTCACCTCAGAAACGAAATATTCTTTCTTTCATTGCTGGTCAAGCTATTGAAACAAATAAGAGAGTTAAGAGACATAAACAGCTGAACCTTCAGATGAAGCAGAAATTTAGAGTTCAATCACCACCTTCTTCAAACACTAGTAAGCGAAGACATCATGAAGAAATCTTTGATCCATCTCCTCCAGTGCTAAATACTGGTACTCTAAGCCCAAAGTTTATAACTAAATTTGATCAGCTACATTACAAACTCAAAGACTTGAAATCAAGCCCTGGGGTGTGTCAATCCTCATTCATGCTTAATAAGAAATTAAAAGAGATTCATTCTAACAAAGAAGGGTAAGTGCTTGACACTGTATCAGCTGATATTTTAGAATCCACCCTGAAGGAAAGCTATTTAAAGTATTCAATAACAACTTCATCAATGAAGTACGCTTCAAACAAGAGCTTCGGAAGCATAAACCATAACTGGATTTTCTAAATTTTAAAGAAAAAGATTATTGAGGTTTTTACTGTTTAGAGAAATCCTGGCTTAGGTTTTATCAAAAAATTACCTTTTGGTTTACTAAATTATTCTTGGTTTAAATATTTGACATATAAGAGCATTAATACATCATTTTGTCACGTTATTTCAACATTTCAAATCTAATCCGGGGTTTTGGGGTTTTGGGGTTTTGGGGTTTTGGGG